AATTGCCATTCACAGTCGAAATCCAAACCTTAACCCAAATCGACTATCGATACCTAATTATCACCAAAATCGACTCCAAACTAATTTCATCACATTCGATTCTTAATGTCAAACCCAATTTGACCAGTGAACACAAACTTCCGTTCTTAGTCTCACATGTTCGTCATCAAGAACATATACTCGATCAATTTTCGAAATTACAAGTAACAACCTTTGATTCAAGGATTCGACTTCTTAAACTTTTGAATCCAAATATCCGATTCAGACACAAGATGAAAGGAAAATCAAAATCGATACTAAAGAAGTCGATTATCAAGATAAAAAAAAACTTCAACTGAATCAGATGAATGAATGATACGGTATTAAGAATTCATACGTGACAAATGACCCATTAATTGGATCTGGAATATCGAGAATTAATTTTGACTTCGAAAGTCAATGCCAGATGAAATTTACGATCGACAATTCTGGACGCAAATAATATCAAGAACAGTAAAAGGTTATGAGAATTGGGCTTTTCAAAAAATACGAATCAAATGTTTGGGCTTCGAACTTGTATCCAATCAATCAATTTAGAACAAAGGTTTGGGCCATATGAACTTAGACATGAACAGTAAAATAGAATGAATTGATTGTGGTTGATCAAAAAAAAAATTGTTGGATCAACAATGGGGTAAAAACGGATTAGATCCAACGAAACAAACCGATCAAAAATGAAAAATGCAAACGCACGAATCGGAATTATGGACGTTTTGGAATCCATTTGAGAATTTGAGATACCTTTTTGACGATCCGAGTTCCATTTTCAACGAACGAATCAAATTTTGAAGATCTTGGTTCTTTTGTTGGAATGAGAAAATCTCCAATTTGAACATTGTACCACCCATTATGCGAGATGTACAACTCGTTCTTCGTGTTCTTCGTGTTCTTCAACGATCCAAGAACATCTTCAAAAGAACCACCAACACTTTTGGGTTTTGACTTCAAATTCAATGCAACACTTGGAGATTGTTGCTTTGGAACCCAAATTTGCTTCACGGATTTCGGCTTCACAACATTTGACAATTTTTGTGAGTAAACCCGCTTATTTTTGTGATTGATCTTCTTCTTCTTTTTCTTTCTCATCTTTTTGCATCTTGAAGACTTGATTTCATGAACAAACCCACTTTCCACAACTTCAACTTTATGAGTTTGAATCAAATCTTTTGGAGTTTGATACTTGTGAATTTCTTTGATCACCGGCTTCCGATAAGGAATCATTCCTTCAAACGAATCACAAGAACACAAAATATCATCGGTTTGAACTCCAGTCGAGCAAAAAACTCTTTCATCTTGAGAATCAACTTGAATCTTCTTATCATGAACTTCAAGAACATCAAGAACATCACATTGAACTCCATTGTCAACAACTTCAACAACCTTAAGAGCACGAAGATCATTTGGGTCTTCAATAAGAGAAATATATTTCTTTCTGAACAAATATTTTTCTTCTCCAATCTTATCACTACTACGTGATGATATGGACCATGTAATATCAGCCAACCATTTGATCTCACAAAGTGGTTGAAATATCAAGCTTCCATGATCATCCTTCAATCCTCCATAAGAAACCATAGTTTCCCAAAAAATCAAATTGTTTAACACTAACCTATAATATTGATCTTTATTGAGTTTGTATTTGATACCTTCAACGATCACAATCCAAGAATTGTATGGCAAATTCACCATGATCACAAAAACTTGAAGATTTCTAGAGAGAGAACGTGATTTTGAATGGGTTTTCTAGAGAGAGAAAGTAAAAATCACTTGAATTCTAGTGAAGAAAATCGAATTATGAGTAAAAACAATGATGAATTCGATTTCTAGAATCCAAAAACTCTTCAAATCACGAAGATCAAAGATCAAAAAATGAATCACCAAATCAAGATTGCCACCATGGATCAATTCTTGATGAAATCAAGAACACCCGCTCTGATACCAATTGTAGTGGTGTTGATTATGATGGCATGTGCGGAATTAGAAAGATCTAGTGAATCATCATGTAAAATCAAGAACACAAGGAGTAAATAAATCTTTGTAAGCTCATATTAGATCTAGAAAGAATATACAAATGGGTTTGTACACAATTTCTCTCTCTAGTCTAACACTCCAAATGGTTCATTACATAATGAGAGTCACTCACTTCCTATTTATAGGAAAGACTCAACCCATTTACACATACAAAGGGGAAAACCTAAAACACTACATCCAAGAGTGACTTTGCATCCTAACAAAAGGAAATTTTTGGTCGGTATTTTTGGGATGTTTCAACAAGTCAGGCTATATCGACGACATGTCGTCGAAATAGGGTTAACCAAATGCCATGTTGACCAAAAGCCGACAACATATCGTCTGCGTAGATAGGGCGCGTAAATAAAAAAAATATCGCTTTTTTGAAAATATATTCCGACGACAAGTCGTCAGTATAGATTTTATAAAAATAATGTCTATTTTTTAACTTTTAATGTTGCATATAAAAGAGAAACGATGTCGAGTTTTTTTTTTACCTTTATGTTGATGACAAGTCGTCAGAATAGAGGTAGGTCGATCCATGTTAAATGTATGTTGAAGACAAGTCGTTGAAATATGTTTATTATTATTATTTTAAATTTAGCAGGAAAACTCGAAACGACGTCGTGTTCATGTACCCTATGCCGACGTTTGTATATGGTTTCATCTTCTCTAGTACCCTAATCGATCCCATTCACAATCACCACTTTTCTCCACATTCGCTCTTGACGAAAATGCGACTCCGACATATTCCATAAGTTTTTAACCGATAATTTTTTCATTCCTTCATGTTTTTGTTGTTTTCTAATATTTTAGGAAGGTTTTTGAGGATTTTGGGTTTAATTTTGTAGAAAGATTTGGGGTTTTTTCGGGACCAGCCATCACCACCATTGTCGACTACCGTCGTTTGTCCCAACATCGGAGGTAAGTTCATTTCAGTCCCATTTTTTTTTCTGTTTTCTGGTTTTAGTTGTATGAAACTGATTTTTGTTGTATGAAACCGATTCTAAGTATAATTTGTTTGTATGGAACTGATTTTGCTCATGTTTTATGATTAAGGTTCACTAATTTTGGTTATAATTTGTTTGATTTTGTGGTTGTATGTATTGTATGATTGTATGAAAGTGGTATTGTATGATTGAAGGAAACTGGAATTGGATGTCTAAAATGCATAATATGTAGGATTATGTTAGTTGTTTAGGTTTATTAGTTTGAGTGCATATAATATGAATATAATATGAAGTAATAAATTGCTTAATTGATAAGTGCTTAAATTGTTTGTATTTGATTTCATGATAAGTGTTTGGTGATTAATTGGTAAAAATGTTAAATTGATAAAGTGCTACATTGATAAGTGCTTAATTATAACATTAAAATTTAAGAAAAGTACAATGCTATAATTGAATATGAAATGAAAAAGTGCTACATTGATAAGTGCTTGGGTAATATGAATATGGAAAAAGTACAATGCTATAATTGAAAAAAACAACAAAAAGATAAAGAAAAAGGAAGTTAAAAAAACTAATAACAAAAAATAAGTGAAAATAAAATGCTTTAAGAAAAGTATGTTACCAAGTATTAAAGAAAAACCTAACCGCAAATGTATGACTATAATTAATAAAAATATGAAATTACTAAGAAAATCAAATTAAATGGTACATTATTTAACCCATAATATTATGTAATATAATATTAAAAATACGATGCTATAATAGAAAATAAATAAAAGTATGATGTTATAATTGACAAAAGTATGTTATTTTTGTTAATTATAACATCGTACGTTTGTTTATTTTCTATTATAACATCATACTTTTAATATTATATTAAATAATATATGGTTTAAATAATGTACCGTTTAATTTATTTTTCTTATTAAAACACGTTGAATCATTAATTCTAAGTTTAAGCCTCTTTTTTATAATTATCAAAAGCCTACAAATACCTGTCCGAAATTGATTTAAAAATTAATTTCGAGTTGTCCCCATATTAGGATTGCTTTTTAAATATTTTATCTCATTTAGGATGTGAATACGTATTATATGATTGTTTGTTTGAGAAAATTTTGGTTGTCATTTTCTCTTTGATTGTATTTAACGGTGTTAATTATGATATTTTACAATATTTATGTGTTGTAAAGATCGAACCACATTTAGAAGCTTCACTTTTATTATCATTGGTTGTATAATAATATATTGTACAATCTAATAATCAATATAAAACAACATAAAACAAACATAATGTTTTTTAAGTAAATGAAAAAAAAACTGTTCATTTTTGTAGGTCTATTAAACAGATAAACATAAATTTTTTTTACGTCAAATGATTCATGAATGGTTCATTGAGTATTCAGTTCGTTTACGATCCAAAATTCTTATATTATGTTTTTCATGAACTTAGAGACTGTTTGATATGCTTCTTACTAAGTTTGGTAAGGCTAAGATAAATTCAGACTATTTGATATCTCAATTATATTTTTTTTACTGGGTCTGATAAAAGGTTGTGTCTGACTCAATTATGTATTGACATAATCATATATGTCTCAATCGATAAATATCAAACTAGTCTTATTATAATTATTATGTAGTACCAAATAGAAGTTATTTTATTTAAGTTTCATTCCATATATATTACTTATTTATTCATTCAAATATGGTATGTTTAATTTATTTTTTTCTCAATTGTAATTTATTGATAACAACTTAATGTATGAGTATACCAGTATTTGTATATATAGAAAAAGATTAAAAAATATAATCCAAATTTATGAAGTATAACAGTTTTGACTTTTTGATACATTTGACCACATTGTTTATCAAGAGTCAAAATTGCGAGGGTCAAACTCCATCAACTGTTCACACCCGCCACCAATCATGCGGCAGAGGATCAACACCTCATCCGAAAGAACTGTAAAATAACACAAACACAAACTAATCCCAATCCAAATTCCTCAAAAATAGGGAAACAATATCAACCGAAATTATAAAATAAATTAAAATTTAAATCTTTTTTTTCCTCACACCATTCTGATGGAACCGGATGACCTTGGTCTAGGCTCCTACTATCACCACCACCACCACCCGCAGCCCCAGCCCCCACCGCAACCACAACCGCAACGCCACCCACACCAGCAACCATCACAACCTCCCACAACCATCACCAATGGAATGCTACAAAACACCAACACCGATCCCAGACCCTCTCAAATACTCTATGCTCATAATTCTGCCCCCTCCGCCGTCTCGTCTCCCTTAGAGACCGCCGTCCGGAGGAAGAGAGGGAGACCCAGAAAGTATGGAACGCCAGAGCAAGCCGCCGCTGCAAAGAGACTATCCTCCTCGTCTTCTCCGTCCACCTCTGTTCCACCTTTGTCGCCGAGGAAAAAGGACTTATCTTTGGGTGTCGGCGGCTCCTCCGCTTCTACTTCTTTCAAGAAATCTTCTCTTGGTGGGTTTCTCTTTAACTTCTGTACTTTATACCATTATGAATTAAATCCCATTGAATATGAGTTTAAAGGGTTTGTTGAGTATTCTTTTGTTATATTTGCTTTGTATATGAGCTATATGTCTCTGTTCGTTGCTTCTTTCATGCATATGATGCATTGCTTATTGATTTGTGCTTGGAAGATCTCAAGATATTACTTCCAACTTTCAATGTGTATTTTTCAACAAACATAAAGTTTTCCATAGTTGTTTCTTCGATTTAGTTGGAAATTTCATCTGCAAAGTTAACTCCATTTCTGTCTCTGTTAATTTAGGGAACACCGGGCAAGGTTTTACACCTCATGTCATTACAGTGACTGCTGGAGAGGTATGAAATACGAAGTTTTTGTTGAAGGTGTTAAGTTTAAACAATGCCCCACTTTTTGCTTTTGTGATATTTTGGGATTCTTTGCAGGATATTGGCCAGAAAATTATGTCGTTTATGCAACAAAGCAAGCTAGAGATGTGTGTCCTCTCAGCATCTGGTTCGATTTCTAATGCATCTTTAAGCCAGCCAGCCACATCCGGGGGAAATATTGCTTATGAGGTAAACTAGTTTAAGCACTTTTATATCCACCATTTTTATAGGGTTTAAACTTTAAAGTGTTCACATATTTTTGTCAATATCCAAATTGCCTAACTTTTTAAATTCATAAAGAACGCACCATCATGACCTTTTATAGCATGTTGTCTGCCGGTTATAATGGTATACTCATGGTTTTTACGCCATGAGACAGCGGAGATATTAGGTGTGGTGCGGGTCATGGCGGGTCAAGACGTGTTATGGCGCGATTCATGACATTTTTTTTTCGACTTTTTCACATCATGAATGAAACCATCGAGCATTTGCTAACCTTTTGTTATTAAGTGTTCATATAACTCTTCTAAAAACCAAATATATTTATATAAATCTATAATTACGTGATTTCTTTTATGTATATAAAATTGTCGTCTTAAGTCACGTCTTGAAAAACGTCAACGTCATGTACGTAAAAGTTTGAGGCTTGACCTAGCCACCACACCACGCCTCATGCCATTTAGAACCTTGAATATAATCAATACAACAAGAATAGCTTAGGACCTTTGTTGGACAAAAAAAATCTAAAGTGGCCAAATATGAACAACAAATAGTTAGTTGATAACAATAATAAATTGTTAAAACATTGTAATTTATATAATCTACCAAATGTTCGAAAATCGTATTAGGAATAATCTACCAAATTATAGCAGCTAAAATTAAATATACAAATAAATGATGCTATTTATTGTATTTAACCTTAATTTTATGGAAAAAAGTAATATAGATTAAGGAATTTATATAATTACAAAAATATATGACTAATTAAAGGTCTCTAAACTATTTTTTGTCGTAACAATTCTATCACTTTGGCACAACGATAATGGTTTGTTTCTTTTTTGCTTAGTGGACTTATTTAACAGAGACATTGAGTTTTTTTATTTGATATCAGGGTCGTTTTGAGATCCTATCACTCTGTGGATCATATGTACATACTGATTTTGGTGGCAGCACGGGTGGATTAAGTGTGTGTTTATCTAGTCAAGACGGGCATATTATAGGCGGCAGCATCGATGGGCCGCTTATAGCCGCGGGCCCGGTGCAGGTATTATTCATTTAAGTTGGGGTGTACTTCTTGCTGTGACATTTATTCTCATATTTTGATTGCTTTTTTCAGGTAATTGTTGGCACCTTTGCTATTGAGGGTAAGAAAGAAGCTGCTACAGTTATAAAAGGTGATGCTTCTACCAAGTTGCCACCACAGAATGTCGGGCCGCCACCGGTTCCGAACCTTGGCTTCCTATCGCCGCCAGAGTCTTCCGGAAGAAACGTGGTGGTTGGTGGTGGTGATGAGCAGCAAAGTATTGATGGGTACCAGTTCATGATTGCCAATAGGAGTTTGCCTGTAGGTGATTGGAGGAATAACAATGATTCAAGGAACACTGGTGGTTATGATTTCTCAGGTATATATCACCCTGCATTTTTGGGTTAATGAAACAGCACATAGTTGGAATTTTTCTCGGTTATAGAACTGTTCAGAAATCTTTTTTGCAAAATAGGGCAGTTTATATCTATTTGTAAATATGGGGTTGTTTGACAAAAAAAACATGTGGGCGCTCACTTGCATAACAATCTTTTTTAATATATTATTAAACGTTCTTTTTTATCTAAAAACCATGTTATTTGAAATATTTACACTTTCTTTATAAATTTATATTTTAAAGGGTGTTTGAGATTGCTTACATAAAACAACTTATACTTTAACTAAATGTTTATTAGCTTATACGATATTAAAATACTGTAAAAAACGGTTGCAAGAGCTTATGTGGTGCCGAAACATAATATGTTGATAAATTATTATTTAGTTTTAAAATAAAACAATTTATGCGATACCAAAACACAATAAGTGGATAAGTGAAAATATAACAAACTTATCCGAAAATGATTATTTAAGTCAATAAACAAAAGCTATTTTGTGCAATATCCAAGCACTCAAATTCGCTTATGTTTTCACTTTTTTTTTATAAAGAACTTGTTAATACATTCAAATCAATAATCAAGATTTAAGGCAACGTTAAGTATGCAATTTTTATAATCGACCTTACAGTTGTGTCTAATTGATCTTCTAATTTTGCAACTCAATAATTTTAGATGGGTTTTTCATTATATTAAAAAAGGTGAATGTAAACCGTAGCCCCATGGCTCACGGGAACTTTTGGTTTTGCAGGAAGGGTGAACCATGGGGCGCATCAGTCTCCAAAGAATGGGGATTATGATCGGTTCCAAGACTGAAGCTTTTGGGGGAGTATGATTAGGGTTTAACCGGTTCTGGTTGGAAGTTGTACAGTTAACCCAAAAACATACTTGTCGAATATGTTTTGATGTGTACTTGTAGCGGTTTAGCATATGCTTTACTTGAACTTGTTTTGTTTTGTTGGATTAACTAATGTACCTAAATCATGTTTAAAGTATGCATTTTTTTCTTCCTATTTCTTCTTTCTTATTTGTAAGTTGACATCTTATTTCACATTGATTTTGGTGTTTATTATTTTTGATGCAATTCATTATAAGATTATATGCCAATTTCAGAGTGAGATTTTCTAACTACTTACCACATTGACACCTAGATTTGGCAGCGAATCTCAGTAACTTGTTCCATGTTGCCATGTTTGGATTTAAGATAAAACTTTTGAATTTTTTTAACATATTGCTTTTTGTGACAATTTTTAATTTTCATGTTGATATATTAAATATTTATTTCTTTCTCATTGCATTATCTATTTAATGATTAGCATTAAGTTGTCAATTCTTGTACTTGGTAACAGTTTCTCATATATTTAATGGGAAGTAATATTTCCACTTAATAATTTGACATGTTCACATGAGATACAACACTTTTGCAACTATAGTACAAGTTGGTAAAACATACATTTCAAGTGGATGAATCAATTTATCAAATAAAAAGATCACTTTCCATACCTAATACTTAATAAGTTAATAATATGTGATGCATAGTAAAATTAGTTTTACTATTGCAAATTGGATATGAGTTTCTTGTCTACATATAGATATTATTCTCATGTTTTATTTTTAGAAATCTAAAAAATTGATTTTCTATATGTATTATGTTCAAAGAATAATGGTTTTTACAAATATGATGATTTATCAAAAGGAATTACTATGTATATGATTCTAAATATATTATATAGTTTAATGATATACATATCTAAATAAAAAAAAAATCAACTCTAAAACTACATTTACTTACAACCTAAGCTTATATTATTTATTTCTAAGATTATAAAAAATAATATATATATATATATATATATATATATATATATATATATATATATATATATATATATTTGTCTCTAAAATGAATTGATTGTTTCCTTTTTAATCAAAACTAATTTGTCTTATCAAAGATTCCAGCCCACTTGGCTTATTGTAAACAAGGCAAACCCAAAAATTAAACCAAAATCGAGCCCAAAATTCATAAATTTTGATATATCAAAATAGTAAATCGGTTGATTAAGGGGTGTTTGAGATTTGCTTATTTAAAAATGATTTCTACCAAAGGGCTTGTGTTGGTTTTGAGGTTCAAGTTTTATTGTGGACATAGATGAAATAATTTATGAGTAATTTAGTATATATTTGTATTTGATGTTAAAAAAAATGATTTATGTTTTTTTAATAAAAGTGATTATTAGTTTATTTGGTGTCAAAAATATAGTTTTTTTTTGGTGTATCTGTAATAAGATGATGAATTATTTTTTAGTATTTGACAAATGGTGCTTATTTGTGTAACTAGGAAATAATGTGTCACACACTTCTTAAATAAATCAATAAGTAATGAATAAGAAATTTATTTAAAACTCATAATTTAAGAGGGTGTTTGGCTAAGCTTATTTAAGAATTTTTTTTAACTAATTATCGATTCCATACTGGTATAAGTTTAAATTAATATTTGGATATGAACTTTTCCAAAAATAGCTTAAGCAGTTCCACAACGAAGATAAATCATTTTTTATAAGTTACTCCTCGTTACCTTATCAAAAGCTCCCAAACACTTTTTTTTTTAAACTTTGTTTTGATACTTATATAAGTTAATAAGTTAAAAAGTGTTTATCATTTTAAATAAACACTCCAAATACACTCTAAGTCGACAAGTGCTTACGAAATCTTACTATGCAAACACTTAAAACTCCCTTTTACATTTGTCCAACTCATAATAAATCAAATAAAGACCTTAATAAACAATCCTAAGCACCCTCAATTCTCCCGTAATTCTATTATATGGATTAACCATGGATGACTTCTCCATCTCTAAAAAAATCTTTTATTCTTATATAGTATGGAAAGAACCAAAAGAGAAAAAAGTAGAAAAAAAATAAAGTAAACTTTAAATTCAAGTCTAGTTTGTGAAAATTTGTAATATGGGCCAAAAGATTTTTTTGACTTGCATCATTTTTTTTTGGATTTTGTACCTACCAAATTTAAAAAGACTATTATCTTATTTTAATTTATTTTTCCCAATTTTCTATTTATATTAATACTTTATTTAGTTACAAATAAAAAAAGGACCGCCCTCCCCTATACCCCCTTCCCTCTCTTATTGCATAACCAAATCCATGTTTTGTTTATTTTTGCCCCCTTTTGTAGCTTGAATCCTAAACGAATGAAATCTATTTATCTTTGTTTGAAAATAGCAACACGGGAGGTCCTTTTTTCTGGTTAAGTCATGGAGAACATTGAGAACCAAGACCAGTTAAAAGGGCAGAGGTATGACCATATGGGATCCTACAATGGCAGTTGTGGTGTTGCTTAGGAGGTTGAAGATAAAAAAATTCTCATTCCCACTTTTTGTTTTTTTCAGGATCATTAATCTATATTCATCTTTGATTTCAATAATGTCAACCTAGATTCATCTTTGATTTTAGGAAACATAAACAAAGATTCATTTTTGATATTAGAAACATCAACCCTGATTCATCTTTGATTTTAGAAACATCAACCCAGATTTATATTTGATTTTGAAAATTTAATCCTTTCATGTCTTTAAACCACTTCATTCTTACCTCCAACAATGAGAGCATTTTGGAACCAAAATGACTTAAGAACAATCATTGATGTTATCACATCATGTGCAACCCTATTTTTAACAAATACGAGATCACATAATGGAGGCATGGTGGAGACCAACAACCTTCGATGGATCGGGTACGCGACGTGGGAAGAGATATGGGAAAGATCAAGAATGGAGGCACGACAAAGCAATTGAAGCAGTTTAACCTTACATGTTTTGAAGGAAAATAATGAAAAATGAAGATGTATGCATATGTATTTTGATAGTGGTAGGGGAATGGATGCATGAAGTCAATTTATTTTTCTGATGAAGAGATCTAGCATATAGGTTAGCTCATCTTTTATTTTTGCAATGTAACATCCCAAAATTTAGAGCCAAAAATTTCATTTTTAATTAAGTAATTATAAAAACCAGTAGTTTGAAAACATCACTAGTGTTATCCCTCATCATAGTCAAAACCAATATCTAAAACATGTCATAAGAAAACAACATCAGAGTACAACTCCCAAAGATCTCATTTGCGGAAAATTATAGTGTGATGCGTTGCGATCATGTCGACTTCTTTCCTTTTGAAGAATAAGTACCTGAAACCAAAACTGAAAACCGTAAGCACGAAGCTTAGTGAGTTCCCCCATCATACCACATACCATACAATAAACATACTGTCAGGCATATCCGGGTGCCTGACCTACCCTGATGAGCATACCTGGGTGCTCAACCTACCCATGTCAGACATATCGGGGTGTCCGACCTACCCCTGTCAGGCATACCTGGGTGCCCAACCTACCCTCCGGTTTATTTCAATCGGTTACGGGGTCTATTTCACCCCTACCACTACCACATAATATCATATCATAAACATACTGTCACATACTGCCTAACATATCTGGGTGCTGGCCTACCCTTTCGGTCTCTTTCGACCGGTTACGGGATCTACTTCACCCCTACCACTACCATGTAATAACATAGCATGCAACCACATAAATCTCTACAGATAGTGACATACTAGACAATTATCACAAAGACAATCGTCTCTACTATAAACAACTACTAGTGGGCTGACATTGGTGCCTTCGACCCACTCATACAGGAAAGGTAACTCACCTCACGCTGCTGAAGTTCACTACAAGAAATCCTTAACTGATGCCCTAACAACTCCTCAAGCTATCAATACCAAATATCACCCAATTAGCAATTGGGTCCCAACCCATGATCCATAATCCATACTTGGGGTAAAATGACCGCTTTACCCCCGGCCCAACAAGATTCATAACTAAGGCCCAAGCCCAAAACCAAACAATTCTAAAACTCCAAAATCCATAAAAGCCCACTAATGACCCAATTTTCCAAATTTGACCCAAACCCTTACATGGTCCTTACCCTAAAGCCCATCAACCCTTGTCAAATAATAATTCTTCGATGGCCCAAAGGTCCAAACCCATTGGGCCCACTAAAGCCCGAAACCATTAGGCCCACCAAGGACCAATACAACCTTAGGTCTAGATCCAAAGGCCTTACTCCACAGTGGGTCATGAGGCCCAACAAACTCACGCCCAACCTCCTAAAGCCCAAAAACACCTTTGTCCATTCTGCATGTGTATGCGCGACGTATATGTCACGTACGCCCAGCGTACGCTGGCCTTGACCAACTTCGGGGAGGTTGACCCAGTACGCGCAACGTACTAGGGGTACGCCCGGCGTACTGACCAACCTCCTAAAAAACTCCTTTGTGACTTAAACCATTAAGTCCTAACGTCCAAAACATAGATCCAGGCCCTTTAAGACGTCAACCATAAAGTTACAAACTTTATGTCGTTGCATGCATAGATGGGGGTTAAGACATGATTTAAGTCCTTAAATACACTTTGTGACCATCTAACACTTGCATGGTTGTGGCTTAACCATCAAGGTCTGATTTTTATGGTTTTAAATGCTTCCAAGGGCTTAAAAGGACAACTCTTATGGGCTGGAACTACCAAAACACAAGAAGTCTCAACTATGGGGCCAAAATGCCACAAATAACACCCCAAAACTACAACTAAGCATGCAATGGTCAAGTTTGAAGCTTGATATCTTAAATGAGTCAGAAAAGATGCTAAACTCCTGGATCTATAAGCTCTTTTCACGTTCTTGCTCATTCTTCCAACTCATTCTTCTAAACCACCAAAACCACCCCAAATGTGCACCAAATTAGCTCAAAAGGCATACAAGAGGCTTATGGTTCGATTTCTGCTCTCTAGGGACAGTGGAGGATGAAAGGATGATAGTTGGGGCGGACATAAGGCCTTTATATATGGTGCAAACCCTAAATTTAGGGTCTTGGAGATCCTGAGCGTACGTTGGGCGTACGTTTCCCCAAACCCGCGTCCACTTTTCCATCTCTACTTTGGGCGTACCCCAGCTTACGATAGGCGTACCCAGCTAAACACGCGCATGCATCCTTGCATGCGTGGGACTGATTTGCAAGCTTTTCCATCTGAGGGCCAATTCTGTCAATAACTTCATAATGCCATAACTCACTCATCCTAGGTCCATTTCCAACGAACTTTATATCCACAAAAGGTGGCGAGAAGCCCTACGCTCCTAATAACTCGCCCAAGCCTTAAACCTTTCCAGATTAAACCCAACATCCATGAAAGACTGAGATATCCATTTACAATCATACCCTTGGCTTCCGAAGACACAAACGAATACTTGGATCACTCATGTCATGACTCCCACCTCCGAACTGGGCCAAATACTTCCTTTACCATGGCCCTACACCTCATGACAAATGATAATTAGGCCGCAACCCCGAGCAACGAAACACTTTCAAAGCCGGGTGTTACATGCAATTTGGCTGTTGTGAAGCTTAGTTAAAGGTCCTCCAAAGTTTTTGGTTCTAGTATGCCCGATTTATGTATCTGGAATACATTAAGAACCTAGTTCTCATGAAAGTTTGAAATAGTGACGACCAAAACTAAAATGGAAAAAAATTCACCAGTGGGTTTGAGAGAGAGCGATAATGTTTAAAGGTGGGGTGAGTGGAGCTGGGATTTCCAAAAGGGCTCGATTAAATCATACCACGTAATTATTTTTTAAGAACCCAAGTCAAAATTAGATGAATGAGGCCACATTCAAATGCTACACACGTGAATGCTATCTGGTTTTATTGATAATATAAAGAAAATAATAATAATAAGGGTAAATTACACGAATGGTCCCCGTGGTTTGGGGTAATTTACACGTTTGGTTCCTAACAAATTTTTTTAACTCGAACAATCACTACAATATGTTTTTGTTGCGTCTTTAATCCTTATCAGACATGAATTGACTATATTGCCCTTAATGATACATTTTTTTTTTATATATTTATTACTTATTATTAAAAAAGAAATGATAATTATATTTGTAGCCCTGCACCACCTACTACCCCTTTCTGTTTCTCTCATGTCAAACTGAAACCCAGGTATCTCTCTCCTTACTCTTTTCAGTCGTCGGCAATCCTCCATTACTGCCACCCACTTGTGGCCACCACCATACTATCGTCTCATAACCCACCTTGTAACCCAAACGTTCTTTACCCTCTACCCTCTTCCTCCTCCATGTCCGGCACCATCACTGTCAACCTCTCTTCCAAACTTTAACCATCTCCTTTCTTATCTACCACTCGTAACCTAAACACACATGAAAACCCAATTGGAAAATAAAACTCAAAGTTTTGAAATTCATTAACTGGTTCTCAAAGATTTGAAAGAAATCATCAGGGATGAAATGCAATTTCCTTGTGCTGATCTTTTTATCTCGATTTCTCCCTGCTCAGATTGGAGAATTATGGTGTGGTTGGATGAAGAACATTTAAATCTATTTTGCTTTTGTTTAAGAATTCTAGATTGCAAAATTTCGACCAGTTTCAGATTTACTAGATGATTTTACCCAAGAAATTTGATAATGGGTCTAAGGTACAGGGGAGATTACTCAAGGTGGAAAACGATAAGTAGATATTTTAGTTTTCTGTGGAGAAGAAAAGGTGGACAGGTTGCGGTGGTGGGGGCAGATTGGAAGGCGAAGGGGTAGATGTAGGAGGGGGTGATAAGAATGATTTGATTTTGCAGGTGCAAGGATCTTAATTTCCAGTTTGGTGGTTTGATTTTGAAGATAACGATGGTATGAGATTTGGGTCTAATTTGATGTTCAAGATTTTGGTCTGAGTTTGGTGTTGCAGGTTTGATAGGATCAATTTTTCCAGTAGCTTTCTTTTAGCTTAAAGTTCTTGATTGAGAAAGAAAGAGGAGAAATCAAATCAAAATTTGGATATGTGAATTTTTTTTCATCACCATCTCTACATACGATTCCAATCTACCCTTCACCATCTCTACATTCGATTCCAATCTACTTTTCATCATACTCGATTTCTCTGATCCGGCTAAACCTTGAACAAAAACCAGAAATACACCAAATTAAAACAAGATTTAACTTAAAACCAAACAAATCGGAAACTGAAATCAAACCAAAATCGAGCTTGAAACCAGAATCAGACTAGAAACGAACCTCAAATCAAACCTTGAGGTGAAGAAATCGATGAATCTTAGATTAAACCTCAGGTTGATGTACCATCGGTTTCAATGGTGTGCTTCACCGGAAGGGTCGCCGAGGATGATACTCTCTGGAACGGCGGTGATGAGAAATCTCCGGTGTATTGAAGAGAGAGGGTAGAGGCGGTGATGGTGAAAGCATAGGTATTGAGGAAGACAAGAAAGACGTCGAATGGTGGATGTTGTTTATTTTATTTATTATTTTTTTAATTTAAAAATTATAAATAAATAATATAAAAAATTAATAAATAAATATTAATGGCATATGAGTCTTTTTATGTTTGGTAATAAACGTGTAACAAAAATACTTTTGAGGGACGGTCCGAGTTAAAAAAAAACAATTTAAGGACCAAACGCGAAGATTACCTTAAACCAGAGGGACTATCCGTGTAATTTACCCTAATAATAATAATAAGGAATTGTTTAAGAGGTATTAGTTATTTTAGACTATGTGGATCAAATCTATTAAAAATCAAGTTTGAGAGACCAAATCATAAACAAATTTATATTTCGGGCCACCTACCTATGCATGCATCAAAAATGTTTTGTACCCTAGAGGTGCACAAATATCGGTCTTTTACAAATCGTCTTAAAAATCTGGGGTTTTTTCGGTTGAAAAAATGATTTAGGTCGGTTTAAAAAAAAACGGTAAAAACCCGAATTCAATCTTTTACAAAAACATATTCCCAATGCACAGAAAAAAAAAAAAAAAAAAATTCCAGTTTACTCGGAAGTAAAATTGATCTGGTTCTTCCCGTCTGTTGCCTCTGCTAACTTTGCTTCCATTAGTCTCATGAACGGCGAAGAAACGGTGTATCACTCAAAGGATTTTGATTGGGAGGAACTGAGGCAACGAATCGAGAATGATCCTACCCTTCACTATCATTTCCTTCCCTTTACTAATCAATCTATCTCGTCATCTGCCCTAGACTCCCAATCATGGAACCACTTTCACGCTCGTCACTCTACAGGAAAATTCTTCAAGGTACATCCATTTCCTCCTCCTCCATCTTATTTAACAACCAACATTGATTCCATAAACAGACGCGCAACTAATTTTGATTTCGAGAAACCAAGGTTCATCCTTTTCTCTTATTATTTAGGCTCTTATGATTGTTGGTAGATGTTGTAGAATAGACCCACTAAACGGAATGAAACGGATGATGAATCATATTTGGAAAACGATTATGCTTTTACTACTTGAATATAGAATTTATACAAAAAGCTTTCACCTTTTCTAGAGATATCTAGGTCAAGTTGCTCAAAGCTTATTTGTTCGTGCAGGAGAGACGGTATTTGTTAAAGGAATTTCCTGAATTAGCTTCTTGCGGGGAGAACTTTAAGGTATTGGAGGCAGGGTGTGGTAATGGAAGCACTGCTCTACCAATCTTACGGTAATTTTACAACGCAAACACTTTACTCTTCAAGGATTAAATTTGGGCTGAATTTATGATCAAAATGTTAATTTGAAGTCATGTATAGTGTCTACTTGATTCTTTAGCCTTATGGAAGCTATTTTTCTTTTCTTTTTTATGTTGTGTAGTGGAAAAGAAAACATCATTGTATTTGCCTGCGATTGTAGCACAGAGGCACTTGAGAGGGCAACTGAAATCATATATGCTTCCAGTCTGGTGTTGGCTAAAAGTCGTTTTCGCCCTTTTTGTTGTGATTTTTCTACATCTCGATTCCCAAAGTGGCTGATTTGTGATTCTTGCCGTGAAACTTCATTGATTAAAGGTAATAAATTTCTTTCAGGTGTTTATATGCACATATAAACATGATACAGACTCAGTTATTTATTTTTTCTTGGTAACTCTCTTTCAGACTTTGATGATGACAAGAGAGATTTGAGTGATATTATAAGTTCATCAAAGGAAAGTGAGTGCTGCATAGGTGGTGTGGATTATGTTACATTGGTAGGTGTCATATCATACCATCTGCTCCCTTGTTGACTTTTTTTAATTACATTATTTTGAATATCTATATTTTTTTTTATAGATTTTGTGTTGTATGACAGATTTTCACCCTATCGGCTGTACCAGTTGATAGGATGCCCATGGCTGTTTCTGAGTGCTTTTCTGCTCTAAAACCCGGTGGATTACTCTTCTTCAGGGATTATGGTAATGATCCATACATAAACTTAACAACTCCATCAATATTCAACCATGAGAAATATGGGTCTTAAAACATGTCTCAATTGATTCAGGACTTTATGACATGACCATGCTTCGATTTGAGGCTGATCAAAGAGTGGGATTTAGGGAATACAAACGATCCGATGGCACCCGTTCTTATTTTTTCTCTTTAAATACAGCCCGAGATCTCTTCCTAGCTGCTGGTTTTATCGAGGTAATAAATCTTTTCTCTTTCTCATTGTGGTTTGATTTTTATAAAAATAAAATTGAAACAAAATTCGTTTTTCTTATTTTACAGGTTGAGCTTGAATATTGTTGTGTCAAGTCAGTGAACAGGCGTAAACAGAAGACAATGCATAGGGTGTGGGTTCATGGGAAGTTCCAAAAACCATTGTAACTTCATTTTACACTACGCAAGATTTTTAACAAAATTGCAAATCTTTATTTTTATTTATTTGATTCATGGTGTATTCGTGTACACTCTATTCCTCCTCCTTATTGTGGAGTAAGAACGTACATTCTACAAGCATGGGATTCTACTCTTGCTGAGATATGTTCCTTCACTGATTTTCTTGTCGAATGCTGCAAAAGATACAACCATTACTTCATGTCAGAATCATTACAAAAACCGGTTAATAGTAAATGAAAACAAATTGTAAAAATCTTACAGCCCACAAGTCACGAGCCTTTACAACTGTCGATGATTTGAGCCCAATATCTGACCAATAAGCAGTAATTTCCCTTGTTGACCCTCCTCTATTCCATAGAATTACAACTACTTTGTTATGTGCAAGTGGGCCAGCCCACACCTACAATTTAAATTAGGTTAAAAACATAACAAAAAGAAAATAAACTTATTCTTTTATTATAATAATAATAATAATAATAATAATAATAATAGTATTTTTCTTAAAATCACAGAAATTTCCTTTTTTCATTTATGTTTTCATGGGAATTACGTTTTTGTAGAGGTTAAATTGCCATGAACATAGAGAAATGTTACCTCCAAATCGCCGTCCTTCTTTACCTTTTTCCCTTGAACTCCAAGTGGATCTACATTAAACTCGAGACTATGAATATATGTACAAAGATTACAAATTTTTAAGTACACAAACCTTGATTCACAGCAATGACTTCTTTATTGCTAAGAATTTCATATGTTTCTTTGCTCATAGATCGTATGTCACAACCAACAAGTAGAGGTGCCTAAAACATTGTCACAAAGTAACACATTTGTTATAAAACCTACATATTGAATGTATACATTGCTATAGTATATTAAAAATAATGTATTTTAGAACAAATGGTATACTTTTGCTAGTGCCCAAATGCTAAAATGTGAACGATATTCCTCTGTTGTCATTCCTCCATTACCAACTTCCAACATGTCAGGATCTAGAACCAAATCATAAGAATCTTAAAACCGTAAGATCTATAAATTGTAAACAGTTCATAAAATCAGTAAAAAGTAAAATACAAACCGTTCCATCCGCCCGATTTTGCATAAGCTGCCCATTTGTCATTTTGGTCTGCCCGACTAGTCATGCTAGAAGAAAGGGAAATATGATTGTTTTGTATAAAATTGAATTTTATAAAAATAATACTATATAATAATGGAAATATATATATGGTGCATTATTGTGGGTAGTGAACAGTGATACCTATCCCAACTATCAGAAATATCTCCGGTCGTCCTCCAGCTATTGCCAACTCCATGTGCCCATGTTGCAGGATCCTCTTGGCCCCTGAATGAAATGACGGTTTTGCCCTTCGGTCATTTTGGGGTATCGTTTTTTTATGCCATGTATATAGAAGCAAGATCAACACTCACCATTCACATAGAGAATAAAAAATGGGCCTTCCTGAATTCTGCAAAGCTTTTGTCATTACTGGATACCTTTTTGTCACAAATTACACAAAAAGTTGTCAATTATATTATCATATTTTGTTATAACAAAAAATTCTTGAAACCGAAAGTTTACCTTTCTTTGGGGCTTATATCTTGATTGTTACAGTTATCATATTTTAAGTAATCGATACCCTATAAACAAAATAATAATGAATAAATTAAATATATTTAGCTCCAAAAGAAATAATAATATGGGGATTTGAAATAATACGAATGTACCCATGAGGCGAAGGTTTTCGCATCCTGTTCTTCGTGGCCTAATGATCCAGGCATTTGCTTGCTGCATGTTAGAGATCTGTTTGGGAACAAGAAAAAGGTAAATAAATACTCCCTAGAGAAAGGGATTAAACTTTTGTAATTAAGGTTTAATTATGTCTTAAATACCCGGCATCAGAGTAAATTCCAAGCTTTAATCCTTTGCTATGAACATAATCAGCTAAAGCTTTGATTCCAGATGGAAATGTATCTCTTTTAGGAACGAAATTCCCCTACAAAAATCAAATAATTTAATAAACGACATAATCGATCATTACTCAAATAACACAAATAAATAATTAAAGAAAACCTTAACAAAGTGTCAAGTAATCAAATGAATGGAGGATTAAGTCACCTTTGAATCTCTATTGAGTTCAGCCCAACAGTCATCTATAATAACACAATAAAAAAATATACTATAAGTATATATTTATTTTACATACATATATTAAAAAACACCCATTATATAAAAAACATTATCCTTTACTACCGGTTTTTGCCAAAATATTTGTAAGATCTGATAAGATACCATACGCCCCACCACATGAGCAAATTCTGTATCTAATTAATAATGGGGGGTTATTTACCTATATTAACATATTGGTATCCTGCAGCAGCAAGTCCAGTTGACACCATTGCATCCGCTATTGAAATTCAAAACAAATATTTTTAAAAAGATAAAACTATTAAAATACTCGTATGTAATAAAATGAAGGTTAGGAAAACTAAATTTATTTACCTGTTTCCCTGATTAACTTTTCTTCGATGTTACAAGCAAAGTGATTCCAACTATTCCACCTGTGTACGTACAACTCAACAATTAAAAAAAAAAGATTACTTCAAAATTACCAATTTATTTGTTGTGTTTATTAACTTTATAATAAGATTTTATAGTTAATTATATTGTACGAAAATAGGAAGACGAATATAAATAAAAAAACTCAACATTTTGCCAATTGTATGTTTATCAAAAACAAAGAAAAAACATGCCACATGGTAGAATAAATCATGCAGACGGAGGCATCCACCGGCAATCGGCAAAAAAATTGTAATGTTTTCGAGATTTTATTGCCGGCGGACGGCGGCAATGTTGGTGTAGCTAATGCGTGGTACAAGTAATAAAGGAAAGAGTACAGCTGATAAAGCTACTAATGCATGGCTACCGACAACAAATATTAACGCACACAGACTTAACTTACCCCATTTGGGGAGTCCGGCCAAGTCCATTATCCAAAAGGCTCCTCCTCCGGTCACTTGTGCTGCCAAAGGTTGTACGTGCTGCGCCGGTGGTGGCTAATCCGGCGATAAGCAAGGAGAAGAAGCAAAGTACAACCCTTAGATGCATCTTCGATTACTATAGCCTTTCACACAGATGAATGTAGACAAGTAGTAAGCTTAGCAAATAGCAAATGGAACTCTTATGTTATATACACACTCGTTGAATTGTATTGTACGCATATGCAATTATGCATTATGATTATTATTTTTTTGCCGTTTAGGATGAGGTAAGAGGTCATCGTCAACATGTATCCCAAAGCCACGTTTTTTACAGTGGGCCCACAATTTTGAAAGAAAAAACGACCAACATTTTGGATGGTTGTATTTGGCAAAATAAGGTTAACGACTAATCCAAGTTAAAACTTACAAACGAGACATCAAAAAGCCAAGATCGGACATATATAATGATTATCTTATAATGTGGTTAGTAGGTAAGGTTAAAGCGAGAAGATAGGTACAAAAATGAACGTCAAAGATCTAAATCATCAAATCTAATGAGATTTAAACTACATGTTGGATAGTAGCATCTTGGAATTCATATGTTTGACATATTTCTTCTACAGCTGGCATGACATCCCATATATAGGTTTAGAAATGACATCACATGCAACAAGAAAAGAAATTTGAGGAGGTTGCAAAGTGGTATAAGCAAACTACAACATGAAAATAGTGCAAATGTTATCATGTAATATAGTTTGGGTTAAGAAGATATTATGATTATTTATATAATGCAAATGTCATCATATAATATGGTTTGGGGAATAGGTTTTAGAAAGTAAAAATACTGATTTAAATGAGATAAATCGAAAACAATGTCGCTGTTTTATATTAGCTTACACGTTAAAACAAAAATGATTAGGAACGGTTAAAATATTTATAATTTTTACTTAAATATATTTAACATTCACATAAACAAAGTACATATAAAAATGATCTAATGCTCTAAATATAATATAATTAAATTATATTTTGTTATTTTATAAACCCAACCTTAAAAATAAAGTATTACTATCTTTTTGTTTACAAGCGTGTATGGTCTTGTTTTGTCCCCCCGACCTTGATGGAAACCACGCCTTTATAAATCGCTCCATCAAATTTTATATTAACAAGTCAACATTATGCATTTACAACTTTACAAATATATTTAAACATTCACATAAGCAAAGTACATACAAAAAGTGATCTAATGCTCTAAATATAATAATTAAATTATATCTTGTTATTTTATAAACCCAACCTTAAAAATGAAGTATTATCTTTTTGTTTACAAGCGTGTATGGTCTTGTTTTGTCCCCCGACCTTGACGGAAACCACGCCTTTATAAATCGCTCCATCAAATTTTATATTAACAAGTCAACATTATGCATTTACAACTTTACAAATATATTTAAACATTCACATAAGCAAAGTACATACAAAAAGTGATCTAATGCTCTAAATATAATAATTAAATTATATCTTGTTATTTTATAAACCCAACCTTAAAAATGAAGTATTATCTTTTTGTTTACAAGCGTGTATGGTCTTGTTTTGTCCCCCGACCTTGACGGAAACCACGCCTTTATAAATCGCTCCATCAAATTTTATATTAACAAGTCACCATTATGCATTTACGATTTTACAAATATCTTTAATTTAATACACGTGTTCCGAGATAAGATAAGAAGGGATTTCAGTTCCATCTATTTATAGATAAACCATGCCCACCTCAAAAAAGGACCTAAAAATCAAACACACCCAGATATTCAAATTCAATTTCGATTTGATCTCCCTATATATGAGTATGATGTCACTGTTAGTATACACCAAGAAAAAAAAACATTAAATTTTCCATGCCCAACAAGTGTTTGCTTAATTACATCCTCTTCGATGGTTGAGAACTATAATTGAAATATAATTTATTGACAAATTACTATTTTATTAAGTTGAGTTGTGTATCCATATAGATTTTCAAGGTTAAATACATAAAAAGATTATTGAGTTTCATCCCATATGAATGACTTCTTCTGATGAAATAATAAAATGCCATGACACATATATTATTAATTGTTACTAAAATTATTTCAAACAAATGAAAATTATAGCATTTTAAAACTAAATATTATTCAACAATTTATTTATAAATTGCATTGAAAAAAATTTCTATTCGGTTAGATTAATGTCCCATGGGCACAAAATGTATACTAATTTATATGTACCTATATGTACGGATCATATGTAAAAAAAAAAAAAAAAAAAAAAAAAAGTTTGAGACTTGAGAGGCTTCACCTTTACGCATATCGCTTGCATACTCTCTCTTTTGTCAGGTTTGATTGTCTCATTTGCTTTTTTCAACACTTTTCCGTAATTGTGACGCCACGTCTTTCTTTGAATTCTCTTGCCTCCACCACCAGCTTCTTTGAAATCTAATCATCACCCATTTTATCTTCTCTTGACGATCTTTGTCAAGAAAAAAAAGCCAAACCCAGCCCACACGAATCTGTTTTATAATTTAACTAAAAATTATACACAGAACATGCCAAAATCAACGCAAATCGATAACAGCAATAAGATATTGAGTAACTTTGTTTGGAACTTCTATAATAGAAATTACATATTGGTTGTATTTAATGTGGTATATTAAAAACATGTGGGTTATAAGTTAAAATATAAAGAAAATGACTTATAAGCCCAATGAAGTTTTCAAACCGTTCAAAAAACCTCAATTATGTTTGTCCGTTCAAGAAAATCCAACGTACTTGACATTTTGTCTAAAAAAGCCCAACTAACTTACACTTTTGTTCGATTCTCATTAGGATCAACCGACTAATTAAAGTCAACGAATGACATGGCTTATGACGTGGAATTAAATATCGGGAAAATGATGTGTAAGACCAACGAAGTTCAAAACCGTTCAAAAAAACCTCAATCATGTTTTGTTTGTTCAAAAAACCCAACGAACTTAACATTTTGTCTAAAAAAACCCAACAAACTTATGCTTTTGTTCAATTCTCAATAGGGGCAACCAGATTCATCAGATATACAAATATTGGCAAATGAAATGACATTATATCTAATGACATGGAATAAACAAATTAGAATTGCCCCTTATATATCGGTTTAGGGCTTGAAGACGAGAAAAACGAACGACGTCTGTGTTTGATATCTTGTAATGGCTACTTCTTCTTCTTTCTCTCAATCGTTGATGTCTAACTCAAGATCTATAAAAAAAGATATTTGATGATACAAACCCTTGTGGATGTGGACGCCTTTTTCGGATATGGACATCTAAAACGGAGGATCATCCATAGAAAAAATTCAGGGCTTGTTCGAACAGATGGGTAAGTATAATTGAAAGCTTTATCATGTCCATCTTCTATTTATTTGGTTGATTATCTTAATAAGTTCTTGTTTTTTAAGGAACCAAACAAATAGATAGAAGATGAACATGATAAAACTTTCAATTACACTTACCCATCTGTTCGAGCAAGCCTTGAACTTTTTCTCTAGATGATCATCCGTTCTAGATGTCCAAATCCGAGAAAGGTGTCCACATCCACAAGGGTTTGCATCATCAAATATCTTCTCTGTAGATCTTGATTTGGACATCAAGGATTGAGAGAAAGAAGAAGAAGAAGAAGAAGAAGAAGTAGCATTACAAGAGATCGAACGTAGACACCATTCGTTTTTCTCTTCTCCAAGCAATAAATCGATATATAAAGGGCAATTCTAATCTCTTTATTCCATGTCATTAAATATAATGTCATGTCATTTGCCAACTAATTGTATGCCTAATGAATCTGGTTGCTTCTAATGAGAATTGAACAAAAGTGTAAGTTTTTTGAATGGTTATTTTAAACAAACAAAAGGTTAAGTTCGTTGGGTTTTGTTTTTTTAAACAAAAGGTTAGGTTCGTTGAGTTTTTTTAAACAAACAAAACATGATTGAAGTTTTTTGAATGGTTTCGAAACTTCATTGGTCTTACAAGTCATTTTCCCTAAAATATAAACGAGTAAAAAACATATAAATGTATCTTAAGATGCACCATACCGATGGTGTGCATGTGGTGGAAGACAAACAAGGATGGATTGACATCTCACTTTAGTAAATGATTGTATGGTGCTTCACCCAAAAAAGTATATGAATCTCTCTTATGGTTATTATTGTATTGAGGACATTTATTTACAAGATCACATACATAATAAGAGCATCCAGCTTCATGAATTCATTTTTGAGCTTCATAACACTATCATATTATGTTATGTTATAATACACCATCAAATCATCAATATATAAAGTTTTATAGTTTATACAAATATCTTCATTATGCATAAATGTTTTGCATGTTTATAAATGAGGTCCATCTACTATCTTATTTATATAATCTATAACAAATAAATTAAATTATATAAAAAAAATTATTAAACTAAAAACACATTCGATATTTTTCTCATTTTGTTCAATACAAAAATAAAAATTACAATGAATACTTTTCACCAAACATATTCAATATCAGTTTCATTTAAATGTAACACTAATATCTTTTTAATTGCATAACTTATTTTATATATTTCTTATGTTTATCATAAATTAAGTTAATACAAAACTATTAAATAATACAAATACGACAAAATTGCAAAAATGGTCCCTATAGTATGCAAATATTTGGGATTTTAGTCCAAACCCCGAGTTTTTTGGATTCATGGTCATTTTGGAGTGGTTTGTATGTGAAAATAGTCCCTCCGAAAATTGAAATGACTATAATACCCTTGGGGTATTTATTTTTCATTTTTCTTAAAATTTAATATTTATTTATTGATTTTAACAATTAAAAAATAATAAAGGACCTCTCTCTCTCTCTCTCTCTCTCTCTCTCTCTCTCTCCATGGCCAGTAAACAAACAAGATCAGAGGCTGGTCAAAAACAATGATGATCTCTTTTTTGAGGATTTTTGTCAAACACCTTGTGTGCGAGATTTGGCACTCCACTTCAACATGTAATTTATTAGTAGAAGCATCCCATTTCTGATATACAACCCAAACCAAAATCGGACACTAAGATTGTTGTTATCTAAAAATAGAGGTAATTGTTGCTGGCCTTAATTTTAATTCGAGAATATCTTGTAAATCCGTGCTTGAATCGTCACCCAATACATGCCTTTACTCC